CGTGTTACGTATGCTTAGTCACCAACTATTTCACTGCATAATGTTAACTCAAGTGAGATGACATAATACATGTCCATGTCGGTCCCACAAGTGAAGAGCGGAACTGCACACACTGACGCGTTGTACAAGCAACGTTTCACAAGAAGACTAGCCTTATGACAGCGCCAAAGGTGACCCAAATTGGTAAATGCACCTAAAGATTTCGATAAATGGTTGGGAATCTCACATCATCAGCCCTCAAACGACAATTTAGGTGCACAAAATCTTCAAACTTATAACGAATTTCCAGCTACGAGCAAGCGCGGGAATAGACTCCTCTTAATCTTGAAGAAGCACTCTGAACTTTGATAGGACGAAGCCCATAGCATATTTATAGACAATGATAGCTAACTGATTGAGTGAAACACTTCCGTGCAACAGTCTACGTAGCTTGCTATACCATTCATAAAATCAGTGAAAAGAGTAAACACAGAAACGTACTCAATGGAGTTCTAAACGAAAAACCGTTCAGAAAGACTACAAGCGATTAAATCAATATAGGGCCTGGAATTACTGTGTAACAGTCCAAGTTCCCATATCTTATATCACCACACCAAGCAAAAATGCACTCAGGTGGGAGTGAAATGAAGAAAGCAGTGAGAAGTGGTAGGACATCATCAAAAAATACCAAGGAATGAGAGGACACTGAAATTCAGTATGATGACTAAAACGAAGATAATATGTGGATAAATCTGTGCTACTTACATTATGAGCTACATCACTTAGAGCCTCCAACCCCTGGTTTCTGTTGTCACACAGACCCCAACTGGGAAGTCTGCATTTCTCTACCCAACTCAAACTATGTCAAGGATTTCAGGGAATGACGCTACCTTTTAGCCTGGTCACCTCTAACCTTTTACCAACCTAAATCTAATTCATTCAATATTGTCTGGCGGGACAACGGTGACTAGGGATGAGTAAAACCACTTCCGGCCACCTCAGTCGATGGCGGTTCACAACCTTATGAAAAAGCCTTTCTTCTTCTTCCTACAACTCTATCCTTGACTACTGTCTTACTGACGGTGACACTACAACACGAGGGTAACGGTGGTCGGACACCAATCCTTCTCATGTTTACCTTTAATAACCATGTTTCACATCTACATCGTAGAATAAGAACTGCAGAATAGTACACTCAGATTCCTGATAAGTAAACGGATATCAGGGCGGTGACATAAATGGCGTATGGTGGTGACAGCCAATCGAGCCTTTCTTATCCGTGCAGCGATTTTGTCGGTCACCGACGCAGGGATAGTTGGACTACCCAACTAGGTGAAATGGTCAATGTGCTCAACTAAACAAAGTGATATCGAATACCAGTTCTGGAGCGAAAAATTGCATTTCAGTGGCGAGAAACGCATCGTAAACATTATGAAATCGCCACTCGAAGTGTCCAAAAGACTACATTTTGTCAGCGTCTTCACTGGATAGGACAATGTTATGTGAACACTCTAGATCTGTTAAGGCGTTTCCTGTGACAAGACCAATCCCTGTGAAGTCAAACGTCGAGAACTCCATAAACATGTGTAAGATAAAGCTGAATAAGAATGGAGAGTACACGTCCCTGACGAACACCATTCAGTTTTGACAACTCGCCATGAGCTTTAACACACATACGGGCGTTCGCGCATTGAGGCTTTAAAACACTGTAATTACTCGGCACCTCTCAATAAGATATAGCCCTAAGACATCGGCCAGAGTCGAATACCGCGTCCAAGTAGAGGAGTAAACCAAGTATTGGGCATGTGAGTCTGTTCCGGAAACCGGAGGAGTGAACGCCTGGTCGACACGCCCATGACCAGCCCTGAAACCTGGATGTTTTCAGGTTTGCTGTTTCGGAACTCTACTTAGAAATCCGATAACCGCGGAACAGAATTTGAGAAATTGTTTATCAGACTGGTTTTCTTGCGATCATCACAAGAGGATTTCTCGCCTTTCTCGAAGACTTGGACAATCAGTGACTGGAACTAGTCAGAGGGAACCTAACCGATAAAAATCATACTAGCAAACATTTCAGCTAACCTGACTAATAATCCTAAAACAGTTTTTAACTGCCCTCGATACTGGTCCATCTGCTTTTCCTCGTTCCAGATTACTAACAGCTTTCTCCACTTCTGAAATGTTGAAGGACGTATATCAATGTTCCATTCAGTACCCAACTGGATAGTGGGCAAAAGAGCAGTAGTTGGAGGTTAATTGAAGTGTTCTGCCCATCGTTCCAGTTACCTCCCATGTAACGCAACCTTCTCCGATATCGTCTTACAAACTAGACTTTCGGGTATGTTTTCTTGACAGGTTTAAATAACCGTCTACCGTTACTTATCGACAACCGTTTCCATCACTTCATCCTTCAATACCCACCACTGCTCGTATTGAATTCTTGTCACTCCACATCTGGCTTACTTTATCTCTTTATTGTGCTCTGAACCTTGAGGAATGTGTTCACACACTTAGTGATTCAGAAGAAGCTTTTAAGTTTCACAGACCTTTTCTAACCACTTTCTGAGAATTACCTATGGTCTTAAACGCTGTTTTTACAGCTAACTGAGGATGGCACCAAATTTCTTGTAGACGAGTGATGTTGTTCTGTTTCGATAACAATCTAACCAGTTCCTCGGTACAAAAAGCCTTAGCAACTTCATCATTGAGCTGAGCTCGGAATGGTCCTGTCGCCGCAGTTACCACACGACCATTAAGGTGCAGACACACATGTGCTTGAACCAAAGTGGTCATTGTCCAAACACGTGCTCCAGGAGTGAGGAACTACCACTGACCCTCTCCAGCGATAACTGACTGAAATGAAGTCAATCTGCGTAACCCTCTGAATTCAGGCCGGCGGACACCACGTCATATTATGTCTATCTTTATGTCTGAGGTTCGTCCTGGCCTGCAATAAATGGTTGCCAATGCACAGCTGTAGCAAGCGATCATCGTTATCCATTCGTTCAGCTGGGATTCCGGGTGCCACCTAAGAGTCCTCCTGCCTAAGCCTACCCACTTGCGCAATGTAAAAAGATGAATACGTCTGGATGTTTGGCTTTTAGTGGAAGGTCGAATTTTCGGCAGAAATCCTTTACTTTATCCAAGATGCATTCAGTGGGTACGTTAGCAAAAATTACGAAAGACTAGTGAAAAAGCAGGACAACTAGGGAGGGTCTGAGGAACGATTTTATATTGGACCTAGATGGAGGACTTAAGTCCAATTGTAACGGAATAGTGCTACAGCCTCGCCAGCTGAAATAAGTCCTAGTAAGTGCATAAGATCACTTAGAAAGCTATCAAGCAACCATGATTTGGGTAGATTTTGCGACAGAATATTCTGGAGGTGGTAACATCTTATACCAACCTTGGATATCCGCCCTACAAAGGTTCACTCATACAACAAATGCTTTTTCGGTGACTGATCCCATCGCTAGAGATAGCTCGGTGGACAGAAAGTATGCAGATAACGTACCGTTAATCAATAGAAAATTATTAGTACTTAATATTCCTCACAGTTAAGGCGATACTTTGAATACTTCTCATCGCCTAAGTGAAACCTCTATTTAAGTCTAATCTACATCAATATCAGTATGACAACGTGGAGTAAACGCAGTTGGTCATATCAACAATTTGGAGTCACACCTACAAAGGAAGGTTAGCAGTTAACGATGCAGATGCAAACGTATGCTCTAACTCTTGTCGACTTAACTCATCAGCTGCAGTGAAAAAAACATCCAAGTCCCTATTGAAAGCAAAGTGTACTGCGTTCTACATTACATGTACACGAAACGTGGTTTCAGAAAAGGAATATAGGAAAGTCAGAGACCTCTGATCATCATTAACTGCGTTATACCCCTCGTGTAGACAATGATGTTACACACACAGAACTGCCCAAATGAGGTAAGTCACTTGGTAAATTACTGAACCTTTATGGTCAGGAGTTAAGGTACATTGTGTAACTAGTTTATCACCTACTAGAAAACACTTGTAGCTGGCGTAAGACAGAATCAGTCTAAAGATAAAGGAAGTAGGATGTCAGTGACTTGAGATGTAGCTGATTAATGGTTTGAGTTGTATAGGCAACTGTAGACTCACGAATTAGACTCACCAAAACAGATAGCTGTAAATCTTCTGAAGTATGAGCACATGCTGGTTGTAGTTAATCGCAGCTGCGTGTCTCACATTTTACTCCCAACATCGGACTATCAACACTGACATGATTTCAACTCCTTAATAATCTTTTTGGTCGGTTAACTTTCTTTAACTAGATGTTAAGCGATAATACTTAGAACAACAGCCTATTTTTGAATCACCTTTTCTTCAGCCTTTCTGGCCTAATTTGTTGCTGATATTGATACTCCATCTCTTAGTAAAAGCAATAAGTGGCACGTTTAACTGAATTCGTGAATAAACACGAAACACAGATGACTAAGTTTACTTCTGATTTTGACCGGGTCAACTCTACAAAGATGACTAACTATATGAGCTGTTAAGAGAATTACGGCAGCCCAGGTAAACGCTTTTGTTGTGAATTGAACGTATTACTTCGTCATACCTGTATTCTAGAGTGTAGACACTACGTGCGAAACAAAATAGCACAACACAATCTTGACAATCCAGTGCGAAGCACTAAACTGACAAGTGGGACACAGGTTCCGACTCTATAAATTCGAAGGCAACTCTAGGCAGCAATGAAGTATAGTCTCGGCAAGACGAATTCCCGAGCATACCAAGCAGTCATTACTTATTTATATTATCCTACAAGAGTATATGACGTAACCAGGTGCAGATACAGTTACGACAAATTATTATTTTCCTAGAGATGAAGTAAGTTCAGCATAAGTTGATAAACAGTACACAAGTACATCCATTTATAGGCTTAATGAAACATCTTTATGCTTCCGCATTTTTATTGAGGGTGGGAAGCTAATTCTATATCTTTTTGAAGTGAAATCGTGCGTAATCTCAACAAAACATACCCATCTACGTCAATCCCAGAAACAGGAGTACACAGAGATTCTCCGAACCAAAAGGACTGCCCGACACTATCTGAAACCAAGTCTTACAGAAACAAATAAACTAAATTGATGATAAACCTTTCCTTTTGTCCCCGAAAGATGAACTAGAGACTTCTGCACAACTGGAAGAATTATTTGGCAGACATTTTATGGACGGCACCGGTGACATGTTTGCAATGCGATTTCTCGTTGGACTGCGACTTGAATGTCTCGTCGGATTAAATGCACTATCCGGTAATTCCCGTATCCATTGAGGACCATATTTTAGAGTTTCTGGTTGAGCTGCCATTGTTTCGTGACGAAGGCAGACAAACACTTATAGCGTTATGATTCACTCTACTGTCTCTCAAGCTTAATATAAACAGTCTCGATCCCAAAGTAGTAAGATACTAATTCAGTAAACACTAAGCAATCCACGAACAAAGACTAAAAACGTCAGCTGTGACGAATACTTTTGAAAAGGCCACAACGACTACCTTAAATACCAATAAAAACAAACAACCTAAATATAAAAACACTTCTCAGGTGAACACATCCACTAATTTCGAACTTATCGTGATAACGACATACAGCAACTGGAGTCGTGCACGGAATTTAAGAGCTGATGACTTCCAACATCCAGCAAAAATCGTGCAAGAGTTAAAAACTGGCAGTTTACGATCTCTCGCGTCTAGCTCATAGTGCTTGGTTCATACTGTCAGGTTTGTTCCTGCAGTGGACAAGGAGATCTCTTCTTCTCCTTTGCTTTTGGCTCCATGGAGGAGAACTTTTTCGGGGTTGACAAAGCGAAATTTGTAGAGCAATTAGGAAGCGACGGGTCGCTGGGACGATTGTGGGTCTGTCGTGACTCCTATCTGCATAGGCTCCTGAATAGGAATGGCAAGATAGTAAGAAGATGTATATGGGAATCGCCCGAAAGGCAAAGGTAGATAGCATGAGCCAAGCTGCCAGAGAAGAGTTAGTAGATAATATAGGTGAACCAACAAGGGAGGTGGTGAGTGGCGAGGAGGGGGGAAGTGGTGGTGGCCCGGTAAGGTCACTAACTCCCTTAGTACGTCTGCGGTAAACCATGCCAAATGGTACGACTGCCTAACTGTCTTCCTTATAAGTCTGCCGAGAAGATCGTGACTTTGTGGCGTTATAAAACGTCCCCAGAATCAGAGGCCTAGAGTCCGGCGAGATTCAACAGTGATGCTAACTTTCGCATTTTAACCGAACTCGCTGGGCTGAAGGCACCTAGTCAAGCATCCTCGCCATTTGTCACGCCGTCGTGTCGCGTCGCATTGCTCGTAATTGACCCTCTGGCCAGTTAGCTGGAACGTATCGGTATCTTGGAGCGACCTCGAAAATATACTGTTGCATCCGACTATACTATTGTGTTTTTTATCGGTCTCGTATTCGTGGGTATATGACAGGTTCGAATAACTAGTGATTGACTTCTGCATCCATCAAGTTCTCACCCGGAACATTCCAAAGTACTCACCCAGTTGTTATTTGAAGGAGTCGGCTGACGTAGGTGTTGCCACTTCCTTCAGCAGACCTTCAGATAAGGCATATGCTTTGTGGCAGAAGTGGTGAGACCTGACTCTCGTCTTTGCCCTTTGGTGGGGCATGAGAGTGGGGTTCCAATGAGACTGTCAGTTTTGGTCCGAAAACGTTGTCCTATTTGGGTGGTCCACTTGGTGAATGATCTTGTGGCATTTTATTTCACTGCATTGTGTTGATGTATGTAACAACTCATTGAACATTTTTTGTTTAGTTGTACTGAAAAAGACTTTTTGCTCACTCGTTGACTAATACAACATTCTGAAATATACTCCGCGTTAACTCCTGATATTTACACCGTCTGACGCAGGTGGATCAGCAGTGTCGGGAATTATAAATGGGCGATAGTGTATCTGGACACATATATAAAATTTGGAGTCAGATTTCAGAGCTCGACAATCTTGTGGACTGTTGTCAGATCACCTAGTTTCCTTCGATAGCTTACCGTGAACAGGTTGAGTTGTCTGAGGCGTTTTGCATATGTTTTTCCTGCTAATTCGACATCCAACTCTGTGCCTTCTCTGGAGTATATGCGTCTGTCCTTAGTAGTGGGGGGCTGTCGTGTTGAACACCTCTAGGCGTGATCTAACATTGGTCTTAAATACCATACGGAGTCATTCTGGGGTTAACGATCCAGGCTGACCTCTTACAGAGTGCATAATGGCGCTTACTCATGTTGCTGTCCCATTATAATTGCCAGTGGCACCCAGCGTGTCAGAAAAGTTTACTCCTAGGTCCTTCTCCGTGGATACCTTGAAGATTGCATAACTGTCAAGAGTGTGGCGGATTTTAAGCGTCTCCGGTGCGTGATGGGCCCACTGATTAATAATAATAATATTCACTCCTGAATATACGGGCACACACCATTTTTACAGGTATGAATAAGTTTATATATAAATTGCATTCATCTTCATGGAAGGTGATCTGGACCCCTACCCGCTGTCACTCTAAGATATAAGTGCTGGATGTTCGTGGAACACCCCAGCAGAATAAGTGTACGGAAAATTTACAAGTTGGACATAAGTAAGTATTGTCTCCACATTGGCATAAAAGCCAGATTTGTATCTAGGCATTACAGGTATTACCCGGAGAAAAATAATTCTTGAAGCTAATACTTCCATCGTAACAGCTTGTACTTTTTGCTTGAGATAATGATAAAAAGTTTACGAAGGAATGTGCGCACGAATTGTTTACATATTGTACTACATTGATGATTCCAGGACTGTAAGATTCATCCATGTTAATACCATTCCACAGCAAAGATTCATGATCTTGATGAATATTATGACTGAAAGCCAAATGTCTTCATTTTTCCAACTCCAGCATCCAGAAGCAATAGACTCGTTTGAATGCACCAAATGGGCTTCCAAAACGTCTTATCCGCCATTTTCACGGGTCGTGATGGCCTTGCAGTTGGCAAGTATTGGACTTTGCTGATCACTTTTATGTGGGTTAATCCTAGATTTTGATAATTATGAAGTCGTAACCCAGTGAACACTTTTTATTTCTGCTTGTTGTAGTTAGGTATTCTCAAAGTGGTAAAACTGGTTACCCTCCATGGAAGGTAGTTTCAGCCATGGTCTGCTGCTTAAGTAATTATTTATCGATGGCAACAAAGCCAACGTTAAGAACTGAATCGTTTTTCTACAACGAGAAAAAAAACAGACAAAGCAGCAGGCGGAGAAGGCAAGAACTCTAACAAGGAGAGTGTTTTCTATGATCATGCATCTCCCTACTTAACTTCACTTGCTATGGCTTTCATTCTGTGTCCTTTTTCTACAGAGTATTTAAAAATATAAATTTCATGCTGTCATGTGGTGTAGAATTTCTGTTTTTTATTTCCGCGTCGGATGGAGCGGAATGCGCCGTTAGTCTGAGGTGGTAACTCATAAATAAAAAAAATGAAATAAATATCTTTATTCTCAAGTTATGAATTTCACATGAGAGAAGCCAGTTTACAGACCTCATCAAATTGATAATTGCAGGGAAACATAAAACGTTTTAGCAGTTTTGAATGGTACGGAGGGGGGACATTGAGCTCTATCATAGTACCAAGCGTCTAAGTGTCATGAAAATAGCGGGAAAATAGCATTTTACAGTACGGACGCATCGTTCTGAGTTTAAGTTATTCCTAGTCACAATTCTTATTTCACATCAGACGGTGCAGTATTCGGTGTTTGCTTTGTGAGTAGTCGACATGATTCACCTATCTACAAAACCAAGTGTTTCGTCAGATAAACGTCTATTTTAACAGCGATTCTCGTGTTCGTAGATTTATTGACCAATAATAACTTACTTCAATGATTTCAGGAATAAGTATCCATACAATCATTTAATCCAGGTGAGTGTCTAAGTCCAGGCGTTAACGCCCGAGTGGGAAATTTCTCACTCTTCACGTGTTACCTTTTCCAGCAATTCAGATTGGTAGTACTGAAAACACTTGTTGTGGTGCAAGTAATTAAAGAATGGAAGAATTGTCGTTCAGAAGTGGTGAATATTATATATGTGTAAAACTCCATAGACTTCAGTCTATGAACTCACATTAAAGTATGCAGCATTGCCAAGGAGATACATTGGCTGTCAATTGACTTCTATAAGTTGGACTGATACAAGACAAAGTACTAGAGGAATCTGTTACATAGCATTATTATGGATGTGTTGCCGTTAGGCAGAGTGATCTGTTGAGTTTGGTTGTTTATCCAGATTTCCGCTGCATTTGTCATGGACCAGAAATCTGAGACCAGTTATTGTGCTTGGGGTTTCTTATATGGTGGCATTTAGGGTACTGGTAGGGAGGTGAGTTGGTTATTAAGCTATTCAAGAAACGGAGAAATCGGGGTGAGACAGTTGGATACCTCTAACATCGGTTTCCAGTATCAGGCTCGAAGTCGGATTTCCAGTGAGTTGATACTTTTTGATCGAACTAATGCTAAGGACTTTCTCGTCAGGCTGATACTGAAAAGAAAAAAGAAAAGAAAGTGCAAGGAGAAACTGGACAATGGAATACCACGTAAAACAAACTGGGAGGAGAGAAGTTCTTGTCTTTTCACAGTCATTCGAGCCATATGTAAACTTTAATTCATTCACACGAGAGCGAATCTTCCTTTTTTTTCTTACCTGAAGTTCGCATGAGTTATCGGATAGGCAGTTTTTGTCTTTAAACTTGAAGGGGATGCTGCCTACGCATTTGTACTGCACAACCCTACCAGATGAACTAGTGGTCAAACACTCTTTATGAGTCCATTGAGGTAAAAAGTACTTGAGATTTACGATAGCGTTACTCCATACGTTTAGAGGTCCTGGTATGTTTTCATTAGCAAAGAATGTATAGATAGTGCCCAGGCGAGTGATAGACTGATCATCTGTTAGGAGCTCATTAAGTGACGAACAAAAGACAAGTAATGAGTCTGCAGTAAGTGTTTCCTCGGGAAGTCAATTGCAGATGTGAGAGAACTAACTACTGAAGAAAGTTTCTTCGCAATTTGGTCTTACAGCACTCGGCTTTAGCGAATGGTTTGTGATTACGCAAATAGTGAGTAGATGTTACAACTATTTTAATTTCCGGGCCGCATGAATGCACTCGCTTGCGAAGTGATTCATGGTAAAATGTAAGATTCCTCCTAAGCCGCCTCTTCCATAGAGGTTACAGTCCCAGCATGTTGCATCCGGAGATGTAGTCTAGGCTGCAGTCAGTTCCTAGTGTTCTTAGTTTAAGGTGGCGTTGTGCTTCTTCAGTTTTTCCTC